AAACACCGTTGAGGATTGTATGATAACGGTTACGAGGGTGAATGGTTAACGAAGCACAGCCACTACAACTTGTCTCATACAAAGTATGATTATTTACCACCCTAGTTTATGTAAACATCATTGTCAGTGTACAAGTTGATTTCAATTACGTAAATTAGATATATTTCTATAGACAGCTATAGCGTTAAGGTAATGAATGTAACTTGACGCAAATAGACTATTAATAGTCAAGCTATTTAAGCAAAGGAGACTACATCTATAAAAGGTAAATTAGAAAGTTTCTCATCATATCATCCCTTTGTTTGAGTGAATAAAAATTAAGCAGATTTGTTTCACTATACCTACTGTATATTGAAACTTTCCAAGTAATAATATGCAACAATTCGTTTTTTATTTCAATCATTAGAAAATTAATTTTGACTGCCATGGTCTTCAGCTTTGAATCAATCCTAAGAGGAAATTTCATCATTACAATAGTTTTAATGAACATATACCACAATAATTTCCAAGAATACTTATTGTTTACTGCATAAAAATATTCAAATAATCAGTTGTTCACTTTTGTAGATGATGTAATTAATATTTATTTATTGCCTTTTATGCCTCTCAGTGTAGACCTCAACTGAATCTTTACTAAAGATCTTTATACAAATAGATTTATACGAAAGGCAAAAATTAACATCTGATAGATGTTGAATATGTAGTGTCGGTTATTATGCTAAGCCCATATACCTTATTCTAGCTTTTGAACAGCTCAATCCATTCATTCTACTTGAGTCACATTCTGACCTCGTTAATTATTCGCTCATCAATCTTGACTGTTTTTATATGAGCACGTAAGTGTGAGTATACTTCTTATCCAATTACTCATCACATGTCTGTAACTTATTTTTGCGTAACTATAAATACTGATTAACGTTTGGTTAAATGGGAGTTGGCTTACCCGCCATCTCCACCGCGCGTCGTTTCTCTTCTCTCTATTCCATTCGCTTCATATCCAAAATATATCTATCCGAAAGTCCATTCTCGTTATATGACTTATTTAATTCTGTTATTGACTTACGCGATTTAAGTCGATGAATATATGAGAGTATAGGCGATAACAATCATTCATACGATCAAATCGGAGTCAGATCTCGGGCCACTGAAGTGGAGAGCCCGTCAACAAACATCGTCCGATCTAAATGACGACAAAATAAAGGGCCCCAAAATTTTTGAAAACAGAAAGGACCAACCAAAACGATTAGGAATTATATAAAACTGAATAACAACAATAATAATAATATTTCAAAAGAACCATCAACTATACAGAATAAATGCAATATCACAGATGTGTTTGTAAGATATTGTAGATAAAGTTAATTGAAAGGAAATGAATCAATAAATTAAGATTTCTATGTACAACTTAGAGTGAATAGTTTTATTACTTGATGGTTTGAATAGCATAATTTACATTCCATTAGAAAAAAAAGGAAAAAAGAATAAGAATTATCACATAGAAGATTTAGTATCGTTTGTATTCATGGTTAAACTTCAATAAATGAATAGCATACATAACAACTAGTAACTGAATACAATCCACTTTATTTGATTCATTTTAAAATGTAAGAGTGTTAATAAGGACGATCTATCAAATTTGTCGAATTTCTTCTATTCTCCTCACTCCTTCATCGTTTAATATATATATGGTTCGACAATTTGGATATCAAACATAAATGACATAAATCAAAAGTCATATTCCATTAACAAAGTGGAATACAGGTGAGTGATATAAAGAAATGCTGTAAGATAAGTGCACAAAAGTCCCAAAGAACATATGTAGAAAATAAGTGAGATTTAGTTTGCAATTTACACAGTTGTATCTCTATATTATTGTTTTATAACTGATCATACATTTAAAATTTGGTAATTTAATATAAGTCTTATTAAAGCCATATAGACAGCATGGTGGATTAACTCTTTGATTGTTCGACGTACGTCTACAAAATCAAAGAAATAAACGTAATACATTGTCAAAAAATAAGAATTGTATCAATGGAAATCAATTAAAAAGAAAAATTATTCTTATACAACAGATAAAAAATGTTTTCAAGCGCAATATACATTGAAAATAATCCCCTCAAATGTGAAATCATTAAATAAAATGTAATAGTTGAATTAATTAGTCAATTAAGGCTAGAACATCATGAAAAACCTAGAAGCACTGAAAAGCCATTTCGTCCTAGTATGGGATTCTTCAGCATTGCGCATCCACAGTCCCGCTCTCAGGACTCAGACCCAGGACCTATAGGTCTTGTGAGCAAACACATAAGATTTAGACCACTGGACCGGAATCCAATAGTGTTAATATCTATTTTCAACCAATCCACGAGCGGGATCGTGGATGTGTACTGTAGAGGAGTCCCATACTAGGACAAAACGGCAGTGCAGTACTTCCAGGCTTTTCATGTTGGTCTAGCTTCAATTGATTCATGGATTCAATTATTAAATTGCTATAAAATCCGCAAATACATCTTTCATGTTATTTGATATTTTTTGAACGTTTTTCATTGTCACTTGGTTTGGTCCATTTCTTACACTAAGTCTAATCTTTATCTCAGTTTGGTTACTTATTTCGTTCACAACCTCCAATCTAGGTGGTTAAAAAGTTGCTTCCGAAACACAGTTATCAAATAAGTATGATCATGAAATCATCATTGGTTTTTTGAACGGAAAAAAACCAACAAAATAGACATTTCAGGAAAATCATGAAAAACAAATAATTATAACCAATTTAACAACAACAAATATGTATTAGTGCAAACAGTAGATGCATTATTACATTTTTTTCAGAAACATTTGGTACTGTTAAGTGGCAAGTCGATTAATCATCATATCTCAAATAGCATTATATACTAACTTCATTCTTAATAATTCTGTAATTCATTCCGGAAATCATCTTTCTTCGTTCAACCATTATTGACTCAATACAAACTATACTGAGAGGATATCAAATATCATACCCTAGTTATGTCACGATTTACTATATTCTCAAAGTGATTATAAAAATTAAAGTGAGGTTAAACATGTTAACTCTTATCTAACGCAGATAGTCAAAAATAGGATGCTGGAAAATGCATAAATTAATGTTCCTTTTACAGGTAAATGCAATAAAAACAAGAATAATGATAATATATAGTAGTACTGTATTTCTTCCTAATTTTAATAAAACTAACATATTAAAAAAAGGATTTTTCTAAGGATAATAAGTGCAGGTAAATATCTTTTCTATGTGATCTTTTCAAATCATAAAAAATTTGAAATAAAAACTTCAATAATGACAAATTAACCAGTATAAGGTTGTAGAGATTATTAAGTTTTTGATTGAGATCATGAACTGAATAATGTTAGACCACCATTGAAAACCTGGAAACACAAGACGACCATTTCGTCCTATAGTGCAGCTCATCAGCAGTGCTTTTTTGTGCGAGACTGAAGGTTCTGGGTTCGAACTCCTCAAGCGGGATCATGGATGCACATTGCTGAGGAGCCTAACAATAAAACGTGACGGCCGTCCAGTGCTTCTAGGTTTTCAATGGTGGTCTAACATCAATCGGTTCATGATCTCAATCAAAATAACAAATTTGTTTCAACAAAACACAGCTTTTTAGTGCAAAAATACAAAAACATTTATGTCCCATTTTTCTAGTTTCATTTACTCAGTTAAAGTTCAATGAAATACGGATGCATAATATCATGTCAGTGTTGAATACGCAAATGTAAACAAATTTAGTGAACAGGTAATATGATTATTGTGAATTGCATAGGATAATTCATTTCTTATTAACTAGACTTAAAAAATGAATACGAATATCTGCTAATTACACAAACTAATTGGGATTTAAGGATAACATAACAAAACACAATTGTATATAAAAACTACATTCGACAAATTTGATAAGCGTCACAACATACTTTAAATAAAAATTTATGAATGTATAATTAGATATTATATATAATAATAAAATATACATCTATTTCGTCTTACTTAATGAACCATTTTCTAATGGTTCTTTCGAAGAACCAATTAATTTCACATTTTCTTTGAGTATATTTGAATCTTCAGGAGTTTCGAAAACCAGATAAACTTCTTTACTGGATCCTAAATATTGTGTTGATGGTTTCAATTGGTGTAAATCTTTTGAATTCATTGATTGAAAAGAGAGAAGACTTGATTTCACATCTATTTTCTGCATATGATCCACATTATTATTATTACTAATTTTAGACTTTATATATATTTCATCATTATTTGGCAAATAATGCTCTCCAGTCATTGCTTGTAAACTAACCACATATAATGTATTTGGTAGAAGATTATCCAAAACTATAGATGTTTCACTCTGTTTAGAAGAAATAATTAAATTGAAACTATTCAATGACATTATACATTTGTTTATGAATATAAACAACTATATGTTATGAATTATTTATTCATTTCTCTTTTTTTGTTGTTATTGTTGCTGGGAATTCTCCTATTTAGACATTAGATTTTGTGAAATTTCACACCTACATGTCACTTACCACTTACACTAGATCTAAAAAGAAAAATAAACTCACTAGTTCACTTCAATTTCATAAATAATTCAATTATATTTCATAGATTTTGATTCCCTTGATAATTTTCAACAGAATAAGAACAATATGATTTATAAAATGAAATGTACATTTCCATAACAATATCATTGTAAACTATTCAACTAATTGTATGGCTTAAACTTCATTGAAACGATATTCAAAAATTTTGTTTATTTTAACATATTAAAAATAATTTCTAGTAAATTGTAACCAGTTATAATGATTCAAATGTTATAATTAAACATCTTAATCATTTTCATTTGTTATAAAAAAACTAAATCTTACTTACGTTTCGTAATACTTTTGTTTCAGCTCTTGTATGATCAATTCGAGGTCGAAGATTTGGCCATGATTTCCATACAACTGATTTCATTGCAGTATCTCGGCTTGGTCCCCATATAACTCTGAAAAATGAAAGTAGATCAATTAGAAATCAATGAATTTGTATTTAACATCTTTATGTTTAGTTAAACGTTGCTTATAACTCAGTACACTATTAATGAGATACTATAATTTGTTTTTTTTTTTAAAAACTCTTTAGTTAAAGCTGACAATGCGCAAATATTTGTCATACTTGAAACGGCCGATTTCACTCTTATATATCATTTAATCAAATGTCTGTCAGTAACAATCATTTATCTAATACATTATCAATTCATTTCAAGCCTGAAATAATGGATGTATAATTATGTCTATTTGGTAATTGAGCAGAATGTCAAAAAAATGTTACTGTGAATTTATGTTTATTTTTTTTGTCAGAACGTCTATAATGAAAAAAACATATCAGACAGTCTATCTCTATTGCGATAAGTCAAACAACTAAATTAGTGTCTTAATATTATACTTATGGCTTGCAAAGTTTACGGCGCTCTTACGTAACTATGATTAAATGAGATAGTAAAAAATATTTATATCAAGGTGGTTTGTATCAAGGATCAACTTCGGATACAAAACTATTGTATACTAGATGCCAACTCTTCAGTGTATTACTGCACAGTACTACACACCCAAGTTCCTACACGTTTCAACTGGAGGATATATTCCATTAATAAACAATAGTAGTTATATATATACTAATCCAGTTTTTACAAACCAGTTAAAAAATTAATGAACACATGTTGACACGTGTGTCGCTTCATGACAGTGATAAGTCTTGGTAATCCGATTTTAATACCATCAACAGTGAATGAGTTTTTTTTAACCAGTGATAGTGAATAATTATCTTGATATGTAACAAATAGATAGGATTCTAATTTAGTATCCCAATGATAATGAACGTTACAATTTCAATCTTGAGTGCAATCTCAAGTGCACATATATGAAAAGAATCAAAGTTCAAAAAGATAATATTTACAATAAAACCCGTTCAATAAAGTATTTTTTTAAATATCGTTTATAGATAGAAAACATTAAGTTTTATTTGGTTATATCTCTTAATGTCAACGAAAAATTTAGCAAGTACAGTTTGAGAATGTTGCATATGTAGCACCATTTAAATTATCATTATTGAAATATTAAATAAAGTTTATTTTCTTACTCAAAACAGATTTTATACTTTATTGGAAGTGATAGTAAGCATCGAATTATAGCGTAATCTTTTACATTGTGTAAAATAATAGCCATAGATGAATGCAGTACTACTGTACTTATAATTTTTAAAAAAAACGACTGTAAAATCTTCCTGAATAGAAACATTTATTTACAATCGTTTACTGTTCAGTGAAAAGCAAAATAAAATCAAAAGTGATGAGAAATTATGCAGAAATTATTAGTTCTATTTAAACATTTTAAGAGTATAATTGATCTGTCTCTTATTGGTATCTATGCATCCTGTTTGTAAGATTCAAACAAACAATACGAAATGATTTAAAACTTCACCACATTACACAAGTTACTGGCCATCAGTACTCAGTAGCTAAGTGGATAACGAGATGACGTTTAAAGATAACGGTACTGAGTTGGAGTCACGAAGTGAACATCAACTGTGGGATGTATACATATTCAGCTGATTAGTCCCTAAAAGGACGAAACGCCAGCCATGGATTCCACTTTTAGCTTATAATGCTTTTGACTTAAAGCAATATCGAGGCAATCCGAACAGTATGCACATATGCTATTAAAAAACTGATCAATAGCAATCTTGAACAGTACAAAATGAATTCTATGAGTATGTTGAGATTTATTTTAGATTAAGAATAATTAATGTGTTATGTAAATCAACAAAACCTAAGCGTTTTTGATAAAAAATCTCACCTGTGGTGCACTGGGAAAATAATTTTACTTGTCTTGTCATTGTTGATTTCATGAGAACTTAATTGTTGATAACTCCCAGATCTTGATATAAGCACACCTGACTTCCAAGATATATTATAACTGATCGTTGGCGTTACAGATATTTGTTTATAAGATAAATTTTTTGGTTCTGTTATAATATCTAAAACTAAGATACAGATATAGTAGTTATGAGCAATCTAAATATTATCATATTTTTGGAACATTTACAAATGAACCATGATAAAAATAATAGAAGTGGTGAGATATAGTATTTCATACTCATTTGAGATGTTGTCTTCTTCTGAAAGTCTAGATCTCAACAGTCAACATCAGAATGTTAGAATAGTCTATATCTTTCACTAAAGTTTTGATGCTAAATGATACTTATTTTGTTTTCCTTACGTAACGTTCAGAAAAATAAATACTTCTATGAAAAAAGAACTTTATTTGTCTACTTCTATTAACTTACTCTCAGACAAAGACATATATTACCACAAATACTTTTTCCGAAGTTTATAAGGTTTATATCACATGTGAATGATGTTGATGTACTTTTAAATCATAAACAGTGAATAGTTGTTTGTAAACCGTATACTTTCCATTAAACAAACTGATTACATTTTAGAGGTATAGTAAGATTTTAAGTGGAACAAATTACATTCTGTAGAGTTTAGATAGATTCACCTATGACAAAATAAAAATGTTTTATTTTGTTCAGTGGACACATCACTTATACAACAACATGGTCGATAGAATTCGATCTGCACTAATAATAAGGACTAGACACGCATGACATTGGTCACCACCCAGTGATCAATCAATTGTGATTACATCTCAGTCCTACAGGAGGTCGGTCGCCGCCCGGATAGCTCAGTGGTAACGTCTCTGACTGTGAAGCTGGGTGACACGGGATCGAATCTGTCAGGGAGCACCAGTTCCCTTAAAGTTTACAGATACACCTTGCTGACGAGTGCCAAGTAGCACGAAACCCGGGTCCAGGGTTTTTTGTCGACTAGCTCCAACCACCATCTAATCACACATCACTTATTCAATCCCTTTTTATCTTACGTTCTCTACGAAAACAAGTTCAAGTGAACGAATGTTTAAGTGAATCTCGCTTCAAGAATGTAACAATGTGAATTATATTTTTTAATAGCATCCCAGTTAGTAGAAAAATTGAAATTCAGGTAAATAAAGCATTTCTTAAGGTATAATTGGCATTCTTTGAGTTGATTCACCTTATCAGATTAAGTATTTGTTACATATAAATAAGTCTGATCATGCTGATGTCACTATATCCAAGTTAAAGTTAATTCTCTGTATAATACACATGTTTGTATTCAAGTTTATAGTGAATAAATGTGACATTTTTATTGTAATCAAATAATTTAGGTTGTTTTTTTTTAATAGCATGATCTTCAATAGATCAAATGTACCATGTTAGATGAAATTTCTAAATTAATCGTTTCATTTAGTATAGTGAATACATTTCACCTCCACTAGATACATAAGTTTTGATCCTAATATTGCTACTGCTCAGGTATTTAAAGTGTAAATCAAATTGTCACGCATCATTCTCCTGAATTTCGCATCCTTTCTTCCTCTCTTCTAATTGCTTCGTTTTAGGCGTTTTCATCCATATTTTATTGGGTTATAAAAGTACCTTTTAATTCATTTACTTTAAAACTTATTATAGATCTTTTACTTACGAATGGTATCCTCTTTAAGAATTATTTAAGACTGAATTCTAGAACGAGTCAGTTGCTCTTACGCTAAGTATTACATGGCGTTCAGAATCAGATTATCAGAACTTCATACTCTACCATTCATAAAGTAATGACTTTCCAACTAATTATTTCAGTATAAATCCAAAATGATAACTGATTCTCTGTAGGTGGCCATTTTTATCTAGATGGTACAACTAAAACAAGAAACGGAGCCTCAATGAAGAAATATCTGTTTTTTTCTGAGTTCACCAAGTGGATATTTTGCGCTCATTTAAGAAAATATTAGTCTTGATAAAAGTTCGCTAAATATACAAGGTCTAAATGACTAACTTTGAGCAGCCTACAGTATTTTATATATTCAGCTGCTTTCGATATGTTCTGAACTCATTATAAAGTGAAAAAGAAAAAAATGCATATAAAAGATAATCGACTATCAACTAACCTTGTGTAGTACCTAGACACTTTGGTTTTTTAATCCATGAAGCTAATTTGACTGTGGAACATGCTGGTGTGCACAACCATGCAGAAAGTTCAATATTATACCCAGATGTATAGACAGGATGATTTTTTTTGTCCGATCGTTTAGATGATTCTTGTTTTTCAGACAATAATTCAATTAAATAACGACAATTAAAGTTAAGATTCGTTAATTGTAATGTTGCATGTCTTAAAATGGGCTTTTTGAATCTTTTACCGTCAACATGATTGTTGATTCCATGTTTTACTGGATTTAATAAAATATATTTTTCATTTGAATTCAGTGTTTCTTTACGTCGTCCAGCATTTTCTATTTGAGAATATGAAGGTTTAGTAAACTGATCAATATTATTGGCTATTAAAGCTTCTGACTGAAAGGAATTTGTTTCATCTATATTATTACCAGTGACAATGACAGTTTCAATGCAAACTTGTGGCGTCCAACGAACAATTAATGGACGTGAACTCACTAAAATAAATAAGTTAACTTGAATTAAAACATTAGTATGTGAAAATATTTAAAATGCTAGAACTATTTTCTTCTCTTAGATTCAGAAAACAACAATAAGGTACATTAGTATATCATGAATGGATGTTTGAGACTGAATGAAGAATATTGATTTTATGCTTTTCTGCATGAATAATAAATATAACTTTATTTTCAGAAAGTTGTTATTTGTCGATATTATAGCAATTTAATAGTTGAGTTCATGAGTCAATTGAAGGTAAACCACCATGGAAAACCTGGAGGCATTGAACTGCCGTTACTCCCTAGTACAGGACTCCACAACAGTGCTCATACATGATCCACCCGGCGGGCTTCGAAACCAGGACTTATCGGTTTCGCGCGCAAGCGCTCAACCTCTAGACCAATGAGCCGGCATCCAACGGTGTTAATACTTAACTTCAATCCACGAAATTGAGCCAAATTTCATCATTGTCCTCAGTGAGTTACTATCTCACAACAAATGTGGTTGAACTCCACTGGTCGCTGCTTCTCACTAGAATCATTTTCTCATATAGACGAAAATGGACTTATAATACGTTTTGACTAATTGTAAATATCTTCAAGCTAATACATCTATTAACATAAACATGAATGCACAAAATACATATTTACACATTGAACCAGATCCTATTAGTACAGCAATATCATAACTAAGCTAATTTGAAAATATCCATTATATAATCTTGTTTGTTCTTTTCTTTACTTGATATTTTGATAACCTAAAGAATTTTATTTTCATTCCAAAAAACAACAACACTTATTTTGATATTACAAGTATAAATCTCCTCTTCTTAAGGATGATTGGTTGTACATAGTGGTATAAGTTTATATTTCCAAAAATGTTAGTAAGAACTTTTAAATTATAGTAAAGACTCAATAATTTTAACAATTTAACATAATAAACTTTTATTCATTTTTATTTTACTAAATATAATTATGAACTTAGATTGATATAATGAATGGATCGATGTTAGACCACCATTGGAAACCTGGATGTTCTAGTTAGAAGCCTTAACCATTGGAGTTTACTCGCGTCTGTTATGAGTCAGTTACTCACTGAAGAAAATGGAGCGTGATCACGGAATATGATGAATTGCTGAGGAGTCCTATACTAGGACGACACGACCGTCCAGTGCCTCGAGGTTTTCAATGGTGATCTGAAATCGATCCTTTTATAATATTAATCTAAGCTCATCAATCTCCACAATACTTTACTGATAATTATTAACTCATTTGAGTTAACACATACGTACAAAAGCGATGATAAATGGATATAAATGACATACATTGAAATATAATTTAATTATTTTTTACATTATATCTTTCGAAAAAGAATTTTACATTACAGTAACAAGTATTTATTTGTATCAAAATATTTAACTAAAATAGATAACAATTATTAACCATTGGAGGAAATGAAATACTCATATGGTGTGATTAGGTAACCGATGATGGTAGATGAACAATTAATATTTCATATAACGATCGAATAAGCGTACTACATAGAAACATTGGTATAACTTCTAATGAAATCGTCTTAAAAATAAACCTTAAATTTAGTTAATTGCTTAATTGATTAAACATGATTTTTAATTGATTGTTTACATATAGTATCATAACTAAATGAAATATAACAGATAGATATTTCCAGTGAAAATTAATAAAATGTATTAGTACTGTCGAAGATTTATGTAAACATGAAAAAATATTGGATTGTCATATTACAAAAATAATTAGAATGTCCTAGTTTTAATGGCTGAATTCATGAGTCGATGGAAGCTACACCACTATTGAAAACTGGGAAGCATTGGATGACCATTTCGTCCTAGTGCGAAACTCTTCAGTAATTAGTATCCACAATCCCACACGTAGAACTTTAACCCAAGACATTCGATCGTGGATGCTCACACGTGATGAGTCTTATACTTTGACCAAACAGCTGTTCAGTGCTTCCAAGTTTTTAATAGTAATCTAACTTAGATCAACTCATCAATTCAACTATTAAAAAATTATTAAAATTTTTACAAACTCTCATTTTGATAATAATTATCTTATTAATTTCACTTACTTGTTTGTTGATTTAACTCTGTTTTAGATATTTGTTTTAAATCATATTCATATATTTTGAGTTCAGTTATTAAACCATGTCCATCAAAGACAGCTACATCAGTTTCCATTGATAATTCTGTAGTTTTAATATTTATATGATTAATTGATGAATCAGATGTTAATGAACTTTTAAATACTAAACTTTTACTAGTTCCATTACAAACAAAAGAAACATCCGATTTACCTATACAAGAATCAATAATAAAAGGTAATAATAATAAATAGAGTCCAAGTGTTTAAATTATGGTTTATTACATAAATGTATTATGCGTTAAGTATAGTATCATTTCATACAGTCAGCTATTTACTCAAACATGGCAACATATTTAAAGTGTATAAATGTTACTTAGATGCAAATTTATAAACTTGAATCATATAAATTTAACTGAAGACAACAAAGTAAACAGTAGATTGATCTTCAAATTTTATATCTTCATTTTCAACTAAATATAATACTGAAATCAATATATTAGATATTAATATTTTAGTAGTACAGTGTAGAAGGTCATTGTTCTAACTATTCATGGACTTAAATTTATTAAACATTATCATTGAATATCTTTGTGTTGTAGTGTTTTCATAAAATCACTTCATAGAAGTAAGTTAATTAACAAGAAGCTAGTGATTATATTTAAGATGGGATTATATTATAGACAGTCACAAACTAAAGAAATCAATCCGATGGGTAACACACTATTACTTCAACTTGTTTACTATTTACAAACAATCTAAGAAATACTCTACTTTTAGTAAGGATGTGGTGTGTTCTACTTATGTCGACATAACTAGTATATGATATTAGTTGTGAACAGAATGTCTGGCAGCAGAGAGACAAGAGGGTCGAACAGTAAAGAATGAAAACAGAATGCAATTTGTATGAAAATGCAGGAACAATGTAGTCTGAGTCATTTTCAGACAATTGATGGACGTTTTGCAAATTAAGCATTTACTATATGATTGTTAGATTTTATTAACAAGTCCTGTAATCTTGTGTCAGATACATTTGATTGTCCCCCACTCACTACAAGGATAGTGAGGAGAATAACTATAAGGTAATTTTTCAATGGGACAACGAAAGAAAGATTAACCGGATAGATGTCTATAGGAATAATGAAAAATTTAGTTACAGTCAAATAAATAGAATCTTAGATAAAATGTAAAGGGCAATGGAAAGCTTGAGATTTCATTTACTCTTTCCTACTCCAACATGTACAAACGGGTATAACTAATTCATCAGTGTTGTCTGAATCCTAAACATGTAGTCCGTAAGCTGTTTTTCAATTTTACGCATAGCTCATATATAATAATAAAACAGAGAGAACATGACGCGTTTGAATAAAACATTTTTACAAAACCAGTACGTCATGAAATCACTCATTTAAGGATGGTTAACAGGTTAATTGTATTTATGTGCAGACGCTTTTAAAGCAATCTTCATTCAACATACTAAACAAAATGGTCCAAACAATGCAGCGGAGTCCATGAATACATTAGCCCGCTACATATATAATTTGGTTAGCTATAAACATCACCTGAAAAAAATATTTCAAGCTTGTTGTCACAAAATATTGGTAAAACATCTTGAACAATGCTCCAAATCATTATTTCATCCAACAGTTTGTCAAGTTAATGAAGAAACAAAACATTTACTAGTAAATTTCTAATGCTTCATAGGGTCAGACAACGGTTTATATATTATAAGACTAAAATTTTGATATGAATACTAATATTCTGTGTTACCAAAACCTACCTGGGTTATTGTTAAGGTGGTCTTCAGAGTATGACTCGTCATAATGATTCAAATACTTGTTTTTCAGATATTGAACAGCGTTTGTATCAAATTTTTTTAAGTTAGCAGTTAGAGAATCTTCTCTTTGATCTTGGATTGAATCTACGTTTGGAGTATGAATAAACAAAGTATTTGGTTGTGATCTAAGTTGAGTTGAACCCCATTCACACATTGCAATCACCTGAAAAATAATTTGAATCACACTTAATAAAAATCAATACATATAGGTTCTGTATTAGAAATCCGTATGACTGAAAAAAGGAAATCGAGCTATCTAAATAACATTAAATTTGTGGTCGTTAAACATTCAACATTCATGTAAACACCTCTTTTATATTTTTATAATTAACTGCTGGTATATCCTATCATTCATAAATGATAGAGAATATTCTTCATCTGTTCAAATGTTTGTAAAAGTTGTTTTATCCATTGATAATTTTCCATCTAACAGTGATACAATTTTTCCATCTTATCAATCAATGATCTAAAATCATCAGTATATTCAGATCGGAAATCATTATTTTGTTGTGAAACGAAATATATCTTTAAATGATTTAGGAATTACATTTTGGAAATTGACTTTATATCCATTATACAGTTATGTTCAAAAGATTGTATATGATTACTTTCAAAGCAGAGAATAATTCATATATAAAGTCGGATATAATTTTATTTAGGAATATATCAAGAGTATACTTTCTTTATAATTACCTAATATTGATACAATCTACCTCAAATTTTGTCTAATTTAAATCCTTCAAAGATGTATTTTGAAATTCCAAGTTATAAAAAAGTATACAATCCCTTCAATTTTAACTGTTAAAACTATCGTTATAACTGGATGTATGCTCTGAAAAATTCTTACCTGAATTCTATACAGTACCCCAGGATGAAGATTTGTCAGCTGATAGTTTGTTTGAGACTAAAGAAGGATAGTTTTTAAAAAAAACAAGATACTTGTGATTATTCAAGAGAGCGATGAGGTATATTTCAATGTAATTAACAAAATATAAAGTAGGTAAATAGAGCAATATCTTCTCCATAGAATTTTATGTTTCTCATGTAATGTATTATTTCAGTTAAAGATTTTAGATATATTAATACGATAAATGATCCTGTGGCATTAGTTACAAACATAATTTCACTTGCAAATTTATTATTTATTTGATCACATAAATCATATAAGTCAATTAAGTGGAAACCTCCACTTCAGTTAGATAAATTAATCATATGTTTATTTATCAATAAAATATTTATGGATATTGAAATATTGTGTGCCAGTGATTTTATTGTGGTGCGTGATACTGATGTCGATAGGTATAAGTAGTATGTATCATCAATCAAAAGTAGATTACCTAGAAGCAGTAGGTAATGAAGTTCGAAGAAAAAAGAACGAGGACACTGGATGATTGTTGTGGAAATGAACGAACAGTAAAGTTTGAGACAATTAATGAACATTTTGTAAACATAGTATTAGAGTATGAATTTTCTCTTTTTTTCCATGATTCCGGTAAAGTCAACTAAATGTTTAATATTTTATTTCGATGAATCAATTTTTGCTTATAAAATGAGTGTGGATAAACTTATGGAAAACGTGGTTTTGATTACCGATTCATCACGGCGTTTACGATTACTAATACACGCTTATTTAGCACTGTCGATAAGTGATACATCCTTTGTTACTTTTCCTGATTACCAACTATTATTTAATTCATACACGGACTAGTATTTGCTTATTTCGATAACCTTATAATAACCGTATTATTCAAAATAGCTATAAAATGTGATATGTAATAAACAAATTTGGAGTGAAAGACTTTATAGTAGTCAATTTATTTACTCGTCCTTCATCTCTATAGTTTTAAAAAAAATTAGTTTTGTGTATTTTATCAGACAAGTAACTTTTTGCTACGAATTTATTACACTATTTACACTTTACTTTTTCTTATATAGATGTAATTTCAAGAAAATCTATGTCACAGTTGTCGTACAATGAACATATCAGTTACTCTGATGTTAAGTGAATCTTTTGGAGAATTAAATGTCTGCAAAGTCTGTATAATCATTTAGTAATACTGTGACAGATACTGTGACAAATACATTTTTCCTCTTTAATGTCTCACATCAACTCGGTACCCAAATACTGTGAAACTATTTGATCAAATGTAGACGAAAGTTTTTATTGATTATTTACTTGGTTTGACAAATATTTTAGAGTATACAGTAACATATTACGTCATTTCTTTTTTTATTTTTATATTCTTAATGGACTACATTATGTAACCAAAGTTTATACAATAATGTTAGTCTTATTTGTGAATACTTTATTAGCCTAGTAAATTTACTTCATTATAGCAATTAATTTGTTTTGTTTTGTATTTCCTATGATGTGTTTGATTATTGTTTATGAAATGAATATTTTAACACATTTAACCAAAAATCTTGTCAATAGTTAACTGTCATGAAATAATCTAATACAATGGTGTGTGTGTTTGTGTGTGTATCTGTTAAAAGTTACATTTTACAATAAATACGTAATTTGTAGTTGGGATAGAAATGTATATATGTATATATATAAAATAAAACAACTAGTTAGTCTGGTGAGCAAAAAAATGGATGGAAATATCCAAGTGGTCATCGTACTGAATTATTAGTATTAAGTAACTAATTTTAGTTAGAAAAAAAAATTTTTTTACTTTGTCTAATAATTTATTATGCACTTCACTCTCACCTATCAACATAAATAATTTGTATTAATCAATAATGAAATCAGTAATGTTAACTTACAGATGGAACAGTATGTACAAATTGAGTAGGATATTCAGTAAATTCATGATTATTACCTATACTTGCAGAGTCAGGACCCCAAGAGATCTATTTAATAATGATAAATATATAAAAGAATTATATTGAGATCTATTTTATATAACATAAAATTTCATATCAGAAATAATTTCAAGTTAAATAATCTTGTGTATTCAATGAGATAAATGAATAGTTTATTGTGTGATTAAATATAAAACACCAATAAAAGGATAATCCATAGTACTACATTACTTAGATCAATTTGTCATCAATTAAGCGTAAGATTGATGTAATGTCTCGAAGGAATTAAAAAATTATTTCATATGATTTACAAAAGAGTAATCTTAAATCAGAACAATTTGCAAGCAAATTTATTCATGTTAGAGAAAACAAGTTATTATGAACAGTTCTATGGAAGAATCTTCTTGAATAATCGGTCTACTCAAAGTTTACACTATGTGGACATTTTTAAAATGAAAATGTTGATTTTTGGAATATTTAGAAATAGAATGTACGAGTCATATTTAAACTGTGATAATATAACGGTAAAGAATAAGCTTAAACATGATAAAATTTTAGTTTTCTTTTTGCTAATAAAACATCTGAAAAATAGGAAAACGGTGGATATTAGGAACCGTCTTATGAATTACTATTACTTTTTTAAACAATAATGTGCTGGATACAAACTTCAAATAACAAAAAAACGGAAGGCCTATATTATTCAAAGCTTTCTCATTTTTAAAGATTTCAAATGTAGTTTCCGGAACAGATTGTGGAAAAATAGGGTTTTTCATCATTCTTAATGTCAAAAGATGAAAATCATGAAACCCTATGTGGCTACTCAAGTAAACTGATGTGGATACAAGACTCAGTAATTATAATGTTCAGGGATTAGTTAATTCAAACAACATTGATAAAGGTTATTATGATCAAAAAATTAAGAGCTCTAGACAGTTGTTACGTCCTAATGTTGAACATCTGAACAGCCTTCCAGCACTTTTAGGTTTTGAATAGTTACTTGACTCAGGCCAGTTTATACTCTTAATTACTTTCAATAGCCTCCCCTCATACTGATAATATTAGTAATGTTAAACGCTCAAAATAATAGCCTCAGCAAACTCTGTTACCATATATTTTAATCATAAAACTAATCTGTCAACAATTATTGAATAATTATTTGTTATTTGTTGGTTAGTAACATAACTTTGAAACTTAATTGAGTTTAAATGATTTGGTAAAAGCTCTTACCCTGTACTCAGTAACTGGTAATACCGTAGCTGCTGGACTGTTCCAGTGAATCTGAACTCTTATTTTTCCATTAGCTTGTAGTGTTAATAATTTGTCGGCCAAGTCTCTCGGAGGTGATGGAGGGGCAGGTTGAAGAGTTGTCAATTGTACAGGTGGAGATGGAGTATCAAAACCAAGAGAACCCCACTGGTTTACTGCTGCCACTTGAAATTGGTACCACCAACCAACAGCAGGATCACTTAGTTGAGCACCTTTTAATGTAGACTAACACAAAAAGATGTTTAAATTATTATGCTACCAAACGTATTTTCAAAATCTTACGCATTCAAGCATTATTCAAAAATTCATGAAATGTAAGAAAATATTGACCTAGATAAACCTTCAGCATAAACTATGAAACTACTTTTTATTTATGGGAGCTTAATAAATTCCTTATCGCAGCATAATTTTCAGCAGATTTTCATTGAATTGGATTCATTTATTGAGGAATAATACTGGTGTATCAATAGAGAACAAACCAAGTGAAAATTTTAAAGAAGCTCATAATATTGAAAGTGAATTTTTTTCCTCTAATTGCATTTTTCATGAATTTAATTACTTTTGTAAGGAAGCAACCATTTTTTAAGTAATCTCATAGCTTAAATAATTGGCTAACTAATTATTTCTAGAAGGAAAAAATAGATAAAACTAGAAACTGCTTTGTTCAAATTACAATATTTTACGCATAGAAAAATGGTTTATTTCTTCAAAAAAAGAGTAGACTAATTTTATTGTTAATAATACTGAAGCGCTATTCTTTGTTAATATCCTTGAAAAAAATGCAAAAAATTATCTATAGTGATTTTCAGGATTAAATTACATTATAAACAAAGATAGACAGTGGTTAACAGTGGAATCTAGGAAGCGTGTTTCGTCCTATTTTTCATCTGGATGTACCTGTATATCAGAGTTAATGATCACTCTGGGACTCTAAATCAATACCATTCACTTCAAATTTTATCGCGTTATTCACTTAGCTGCTTGTGAACTAAAGCAATATCGAGGTAAGACGCATAGGATGCATATATGACAATAAGAGACCGATCGATTGCAGTCCTAAACATCAATGGGAAGATTCAAGTAAACAATACCAAGTGAAAAAAATACATTGTTAAAAATTATGTCTTTCATAAGTACTGGTAATTTGTCTGACAAATTTTAATTTCATGACCATCATGATGGTTTAACTTTACCAGTCCCTAAATATGGACTATTTTTCTGGTTCATTGAAAAAAAACTAGAGTTAGTAGCAAAGAATTATTAGAAATATAAAATATCGTGAATGTATTATGATACCATATTACGTTATAGTCCTTTACTGTATTCGTGTATTTAATAACATACACGTTTTTCTCCAGTACTTCATGATTGCTCTATGAGCATAGATGAGAATTACTTAGTCAACCATGGTGTTGATTCTTAGTAAGGATGTTAAGACAAAACTAAGAAAAAAGTCAAAATGAAGTTTTAACTACTTATTTATATACATAAAGAATGGCACAAAGTGGCATCACAATAAATATGTACCACACTATTACGATAATGAAATTGTGAAAAGATAGAAGAATGGGGGAGCATAAACGAATAAAAAAATAAACAGTAGGTAATGAGAATAGATTACGATTAGAGTCTGAATAATAACAGTATAAAAAGTACAATCAGGAAGTGTCCTTTATATATATATATATATATATATATATATATATATATATATATATAGAGAGAGAGAGAGAGAGAGAGAGGTGGTAAGCGACACCTAAACTTGTTATAACCTTTCCAATAAACTGTATCACATGTTTATATTTGTAACTCATAAAGGGAATATATATATATATGTTCCATCGAAATCTTTCAGCAGTAATAAACTCTCGCTTTTAAAATAGACAAGTTATTAACTTATCTTACAAGATCATGGTTAAGATATAAAAATAGCAATGTTCATATGGATCACTTTGGGAAGAACTATAACATATTCTCCTCCATACAATTAATTACCAATCCACTGATTTACTTTGAAATAAACGAATAAATTAATTTCAAGATATTACAATCATTTGACATATATCAAAAGAAAGTAGGGTAGGTGGAGAGGGTGGATAAATTCATAAGAAAACATGTGCAAAAATAAAAATCAAAAAACTTTTTTGCATCATAAGTCACTACTGATGTTTATTTCTACTAAAGTTTTTTCTGAAAAAAATTATTTTTACATCAGAACAATTTTGACAGTTGAATAAAACAAACAAACAAACAAAAAAATTTAAGATCATGAAATAGATAAATTTTAAGAAAAGGTGAAAAAGATAAAGGTAGATTAGATACAAATGACATTTAAAACAGTTTGACACTGATGACAAATTTCTACTGAATACGGGAAAACAATTTTAATACAAAAACAACAGGAAAGAAACGAAAAAAAAGATGATATTGTACATCTCAAGTACATTGACAATGATTGCTGCTTGTAACGTAACGAATCAAAAAAGTTGCTTTTTCTCTCTGTTTTCAAATAAAATTATCAATTGTGATTTATTACCTATAAATTGATCTTATTATTTAATCTAATTAAATATTTTTTTTATTTCGGTAAAATTCAAAAAATTTTGAATTAAGCTGAATAAATTATAAGAGATGGTACTGTTTATTATTGCTGATGTTTTTTTATATTTGAAAATCTATTGATAAAGTAGCTTGTGAAAGTCTACGTAAAGTTTATCTTAATTCTTATGAATTGGGAGATTGTTTATGAATATAATGGTCTTGAGTGTTGTTCAAAGTATGAAAGTGGTTTTTCACTTCCCGGTTACCTACAATGTGGAAGGGTTCTTCTGGAGGTACATGAAAAGGAAATTGGGTTAAGAGTGGTCTTAGTGATCCGAGAGTGTGACCACAGTGCCCAAGGAGAAACTGTTTGAGGTTAGTCATTCACAAGCTTTTTGTGAGTAATTTTCGTGTTAGCTTCGTACTAATTGGAACTTTACAGCTGGAGACGGAAATCGATTGGATAAGGGGAAATGTGCATTTTTAGGGTTGACCTATTCCAATCCCACCCATCTTTGTGTGAATGTAGCATCACTGTTATGCTAGTCGTCTAAAGGAAATACCTTACTGCCGTCACACCTCTGTACAGTCAGCAGTACGACTTCGCCTTCGAACCTTGGGTTTGTTGTTTTTAATCTTACCGCTCTTCACCCTACCGATCTGTCATGGCAGGACCCTAAGGAACGATTGTTCCGGCCAATATGGCTCGATTGGTTCATCATCATAGGCAAGCCCGACCACCACATCAAGGTAGCAGCAATGGTGGGGTATCTTGATTCAGTGTGCATAAATGTCAATTTAATTAAAATTGAAATTTGTGATGTTCTTTCATGTGATTTATTTGAATCATAATCGGGAATAACGGATAAAGTATAGTTTAATTGTTCATCGTGTTTGTTCAATCCAACGGTTTGATGTTTACATAAAAAAACCTAGCTTCAATTCCGTACAGGTGATCGATTATTATAACTATACCATACACAAAAAGTATATCTCAAAGTTGATTACATAAACCTGTACTTTGTAAACGAGTAATATTAAGTCCTTCAGTCAGTTATACTAATGAACAGTGTTTATAACCCAGAACTTCATACTGGTTATTCTAATTAACTATACTCTTAGATATATTATGACATGTTTATTTAAAATCTTATACTTCTGTATATTAAATCATTTATGCAATAAGCTTAGTCACAACTTAAATGTCTTCAAGAGACTTAGATATCTGAAACTCATGAGCATTAAAATGACTATGTAGATCACCATACTAGACTTTATCCCAGAAAGCTGAAAAAACGCTTAAAGTAGGAAGAAAACTTCACTTCAAGTTTCTTTAAAGTACAGAAAATAACAGTATTTGTAGGTAGTTTCTTTACGCATGTTAAATCTGGTAACGGATTAAGTAGTCATCCATTCAGTATGATGCATTACTCATCAATATTCTAGAAGTTTCCGTGGCGTACGCTAATTAAATGTGAAGCTTTCAGACGTTTTCTGGCTTCTAAAGAACTTGTTGTGGGTTCCTTAGGGTATAACAACAAGAAGTTCAGGATAACGTGGCTTATTTGCAAACCATACTACTCTGTTTAACATATGATCGTATTAAAAAATAAAGCGCCGAGAAGTATGTTAATGAATAGTTTTCTTTAAAATTGATCAAATCAACTCAAAAAATTGTTGTTCCAAGTTTTTGATGGATTCGCTTATCAATCAATTTTAATCATATTCATACAAACATAGGTAATAAACATGAGAAAATTTTATTGACCACTTATCAGACTTATGCTTTTATGTAAATTCACACAGTTCCTTACTTAAATATGATGTTTGATTGTTTAAACGTTAAGAAATATGACAGGGTAGCTTGATACATAAACAACAGGATACCAACAATACCAATTGAAAAATATAGTTGACGTAGTAATAAAATTGCAAATGCTCATTTACGCTTCACTCTGTAAATCTTTCCAATTAAATAACTTTCATTCAACTTAATACCTATTGTTTTAAGTGTTTATTTGTTTCTTCTATATTTCATCAGATTGTCTTCCTTATTTTACATCGTTAATCATCGTCATCACTATCAAAACAAATAAAATTCTGAAACCTTCCGTAAAGTTATATGCAAATCAGTGAAATGACAAAAAATTGTAAATTCACTAAAATCATTGACGGAAACATTTGCATACAAGTAGAATAGGTGATTTCATAGAAAAATATTCTCATAAATAATTTTAATATAAATAAAAACAAATTCATTTGCTTGTGTATATTAATGATAAATAAAACAGTAGTTCAATATATTTATTAGAAGTATGAAGAAATATGAATAAGCTGATTTCACAAACCAGTATGTTTACATTTATTAAAAGGGAACTAAAAATTAAAAAGAGAAATCAATTCTAGTCAAATCGAAACATAAAACTGTTGTGAGGGTTATGATAGTAGGTTCGTAAACATCTTATGATATGGATTTTATTTTGTTCTGGAAAACTATGCATCAAATCCAGATGTTGAAATCGACTGTTTACAAGTTGAAAAGAAGTAATTCAAAATTTCAGCATTTTAGCCGATATGTTTTTGAATTTATATAAATCATTAAATGTATCAAGTATTTTTATTTACTTAAATCTGTTGTAGATTATTAACGTCTTTATCGTTTATTAAATAAATGATCATGAATCGTTCGAAGTTAAACATCAACACCGTTGGATGACGGCTAGCTCAATAGTGTAGAGGTTAAGTGCTCGCGTGTGGGGCGAAAGGTTCTGGGTTCAAATCCCGTGAGCAACTTCGCGGATGCGCACCGTTGAGGAGTCCCATACTAGGACGAAACGGCCTTCCAGTGTTTCTAGGTTTTCCATGGTGATCTAGCTTTAATAGACTCATGAATTCAACTATGCTTAATTAAAGGTACTATATGACATGAAATCATGTTAAAAATCTCTTGCTAATTATTTTCAAACGTCTAAGACTTAAGATTTATTGATAGTAATTAGAAACTCGGTTTTAAAGGAAAATAGATGCTTAGTCGTCAGTCTACGTAACATAGAATGCCTAAAGTTTTAAGTACTTTTTCCTATAATTCTGAGGCAAAGATTATATAGATAGGTCAAGTTAATTCTGTAATCATATAAAATGAGTGAATTTAACCGCTAACACGTTTCAAAAGCGTTCAGTTGTAAAAAAATACATTCACCCACCACAACTAATGTTTTCCAGGGACTTGACATACGGTTATCATATTCCGGGCCAAAATAGGATTTAACTTGTAGTACGTACACAGTTGGTAAGCTGAGATTACTGACTCCTATTTCGTTATTATTCCAAGAAACAAGAAAAGATGGTGGATGTTTTTCTTCCAAAATACGTACTGTTGGAATCGGGGGCAAGATTGCTGTCAAAGTCAAGCACATAATAGAAAATAAATGATATACCTAAATTATAACTTAGATATACCAAAAATTTCAAGCCTTTTTAGTCATTAAATACTAAGTAGCATTGAGATTTCTGGTTTCCTTTTAGACTAACCTATTTATAAATATTGTTGGTTATATTAAATATTGTTTGTTTAAAACTGAGCTGAATAAAATTTTTATGAATCTCTTAAAAATTTGTAGCTTTGTTAAGATGGGAAACATGATGAGCAAGTTGCACTCATCAGCGTCAGTCATCCGATTAATCCTTAAAATAGAAAACAGAAAAATATTCAAATTTCATTTTTCGTCTTTCTACGATAATGTCAAACTGAAGTGTCCTAATGTCAACTGATATCATTCATCCATCTAAATTCTATGCTCATTTGTATTTATAGCGATTTGGATTTAATGCATTAACGCTATACAGATCATTTTTAGACGATAAACGTTATAATGCCAACATTAAATTCACAAATTACTTGCATTTAAATAGTTGTTGATTGAATTCAATCACAATCCAGGTCAAACAAATATGAACTCTGTTCTAATACATTCATGTAGTCACTTCTAGGCCAATGAGTTGTCTATATTATAAAAGCGAATATAGGTTAGTTGGTTTTAATTAAATTTTTCTCATTGCTGTTTCTAATACTGCATTTAAATAGAATTTCAGATATAATCCTAAAGTAGTACTAATTTGTTTTAAAATAAATCTGTCAACTCTCTCATAGTTAAGTGGCAAAATATCATATAACAACAAAACAGAGAATATTGTTTGTTTAAATATTATTATGGGCGTACGATAGTAAAATTTCATGACAATTACTTGAACAAACATTTTGAAAGCAATCTATTGTCTTTAATTATATTAAAATATGCACGAAAGCTCTTGGCCTTCATATTATAGTTTTCATTATTTTTTGGTGGATTTTTGTTGTGTGAGCTGGATTGTTTGGTCGTGGAGCTTTCATTGTTCTTCTGAACGACATCATCAGCGAAAACTTCACTTCTACCTGAAGTTTGTGCTGATGATGTCGTTCAGAAGAACAATGAAAGCTCCACGACCAAACAATCCAGCTCAGAATTCAGCACTACATCAAAATCATCCACCTGAGCTACAAATATTCTCCACCATCTCATTACTTTTAGTAAGGAAAGTGGAGTGCCTTTCTTAGATAAAGTTTAATCCCTTGTATCATTAATGTTCCTTTTTCCACTCAGTTATAGATGGCTATCTGTTCTCAGGCTTGGAAGGTGTAAACGTGTGATAAGATTAGCTGTTCTTCTGGAAGATATTACTAATCGATTTCATTACTAAAGGTAGGAGTCAATTTGAAAACGAAAACTTATGCGGCGACATTTGTTTTAGCAACTTTTGATATAGCTAGCAATGGAATCTGGGAGCGCAAAGATTTTAACTTTTAAGGATGACATTTAATTACAACGGCTTTTAAATTATTTTCAGGTTATTATTTTAACCTTCTATATGAAATTACCTTTATTAAATAAGGCTTGTTTACATTGTGATTGACAGCATTTATCTTGCTTTTGTGGACATTCAGCATCAACTGTGCAACTGGTGATTTCATTAATTGCACCGCTATGATGTGTAAACCAAGAATTCTCCAGCATATTGGTTTTTAATCCGTTGTCTTTTTCAGTTAAAGAAATGGGTTTGTCCAAATTAAACTGCGAAGAATCGGAAGACTCATGTGATGGATAATTCTGAACATCGTTTTTAACAGATACTAAATTTGGTATGCGGTGAATTGCAAGGCCAATCTGTTCGGGGCAATCACCAGAGCGTCTCTTCAATGCTGCGTCTAAGGATCGGCAACCAGTAAGACATGACCATCCGCTAGGTGAATCACCAGACTAAACAATAAAGAAATCATTTAATCTAAGTGTATTTAACTGATTATTAAGTTACACAGTTAATGAAACCGTCTACTTATGTACATGGTTTTAAATTAGAAATAAGAATAATTAGCATTTACAACATTTTTGTTAGCACTAAATGGCATGTATTCAATATAATAAGCAATGAATTATGTAGTGAAAAAGAACACAAGTGAAGATAATCGAATGTATATGAACACAAAATTACAGAACATCTTGGTAAAATCTGAGAACCAAACAGTAAATATTTCATTTGCAAAATGTCAATCAATTGTCTTAAATCTGACTATTCCTTTTGTAAATATCAGTCAATCGTCTCAAGCTTCATTGATATTTCGTTTCCACATCAATCATTCTTTGTTCTCGTTCTTTTTTCTTTGAACTTCTTAAGCTTCTGCCTCCGGAAATTTCACTTTTGATTGGTGATACTACTCATATCTGTCGGCATCAGTAGCACACACTTTATTATTATCACACAAATAACTAAATTAATGCTTCAACATCTATGCTCATTTTCAGTATTCTAACTAGGGAGTGAGCAAAATAAAACTGAGTCCATATTCAATAAGGTTAGATTTACTTCTGAAATTTGGATACATTTAGATAAAAAAATGAACTTTATTTATATTGTCATAAAAGTAAGTAAACATACCCACTAAACCACTTATATTTTACTTTACAACTCACCCTTTTAATAACGAATCCAATAAGTAAATGCACAATGACAAAAAGAACGGTTTAAGTTAACTCTCTCACACTATATACATAGTTTTTTATATTGTTCACTATAATCAATGGTCATCATCGAGTAAAGTTTTTATAATAAGTTACAAATAAGTACTTTGGTTCTTTTTGTGTTCATAATTAAGATACTTATCGTATTATGGATTTATCAGATTACATTTTCTCTCGATAACTATGTGGTTAGATTATTATTTTTTATTGAGATCATGAATCGATTGATGTTAGACCCCATTGAAAATCTGAGAGCACTGGACAGCCGTTTTGTTCTAAAATATGCCACTACTCAGCAGTGCGCATCCACGATCTCACTCGCGAACACTTGACCTCTAGACCACTAAGCCAGTATCCAACGGTGTTAATGTCTAACTTCCATCGATCCATGAATGGCTACGTAGAAATTCATCCAATGTCTGAGGTAGATAACCTTCTCTAATTATTTATTTGGAAATTCAGTTGACTAAATCTGCTTCATTTTGATTTACCTAGAAAATGTTATTTTAGTATAAAAGTGAAAGAAAATAATGTGAGATTGGTTATTTAGTATTTGCAAGATTAAACTTTTTGACAGTTTTACAAGTTTGTTTCGTGTTGTTTATGTTTGTTTGTTTTTTCTAACACTTTCAATCTTCCATTTTGTAAATAGTAATGAATATTGTATGTAGTTTGTAAAGAAAAATAATTTCAATATAACTTATGACAAATATGTTATTCATCATAATTCAAATCTAAGAACCTTTGGATACCAGATGGCAAATGTTCCATCTTAAGTTTAGATAATTCATACGTTCAAACTTAGCACCAACCACATGGATATAAGTATAACTAATTCACTAAATTGGCTGAATTTTTAAATATTTGGATAATATTATTACTTTCTCAAAAGCATTTAATGTTAGGTGTTATATTACACAACATCCACACAAATCCGCATTTTTCATAAACAGTTTACTGAACAAAAATCATCAATTTGACTGTTTCTGACATTTACACAATGCTAAAAGAAAAAAAAAACAGTGTAAGCTCCAGTTTTATCAACTTAAATTTATTCCTTGTAAAACTGTGGTCTAAGTTTAAAATTAGCCTTTTCAAATATTACAATCATATCGAAATTCATATTGACAAAGTGAAGTGATTGTTCAGAATGAAGATTTAAACATTTATATCTATTGTCATGTCAGTGTAGAATTTGTCAAGTAGTTTTTGAAAGACAATTAGAAAAATATGACAATGAGTTTAATATTAAATTTTGTCTACCGATAACAGTTACATTTGTAACGAAATATGGCAGTAAAAATCTTATGCTATACATAACAACATACAAACCTCACATGAAACTTGAAGATACACATTTCTAGATAGAGATTTATTTTAGTATATTTGAACGTTTGTGGAAGTAAATTTGTTAGGTCATCCGTTTATATTAGAGTTCTGGTAATTGATAATTTACCAAGTGTTACACAATCAACAAAAGTTTTCAAGAAATATCATTTGTGTTGAATATAGTTTTACATTTATCTGTTAACACTAACCATGTTTATAAGGAGTACAGTAACACTATCTACGTTATTATAAAATTAACGTTTTATTAGTTGCGCACTTGGCATTCCAGTATTAGTACTATTTGTTTTAACATTGGTAATTCATTAGTAACTTATTTAGCCTAATTTCTAACATGTTGATGTTTGTTGTGATGAAGTTACTCGATTTGAATGAAATCGTTACACTAATTTTAAGGTACTTCCAGTTCATAAGTAATCAACAACATCAAATAATGTTCTACACATACAACTGACTTCAGAGAATACTGGTACGACGGAGGTTAGAATTTATATCAAAACATTTTCATGGCTTTGCTAATTGCAAAACTATCGTGGTAAGTAGTATAAAATGTGATAACGACTTCATACTCACTCTCTCTCTCTCTCTCTCTCTCTCTCTCTCTCTCTCTCTATATATATATATATATATATATATATATATATATATATATATATATATAATTCTATGAGTCATCACGAAGTTTTTCATGAAAGGATAGATGAAATATGTGAGTGTAAATGATAATTACAGTTATTAATAAAATTGACTGTTCTCTTTGTAATTGTAAGTGAAGTAAGTTAGTTTTAAATAGAATATGGGAAAAACAGAAAAGTTAACAGCATTCAACTATTGAGGAAAAAACCCTCTGAATGGAATATTCTATTGACGAGTTGAATAGTGAAGAAATCATTATTTACAGATGTTTAGTGGATATAATTGAAAATAATACTCAAAAAAAAACAAAAAAAGAAGTACAATTTTAAAAATAGCACAATGCAAATAAATATATTACATTATAATTGAAAAAAACATACCTCGCACATTTTTGTGCAGTCACTGTAAAAGCGGTCTGAATCGCATGCCTGTTCACACTATCAAAAAATTAATGACAGAATGAGTTTCTATTAGACAACTTGCAGAAGTAATACTTACATATTTTAGATAAGTTTAGTAAGAATTAATACATACAACTTGATTTGAATTAGCACATCATTCCTGAACCCTTATTCTTAAAATGGAGAAGCATTGAAGAGTTGCAGAGTTGTAGAATAATATATTTTAGTTGTTTCCGTCCATAACTAGGTACAAGAAAAATTTGTTGCTGATATCATTTAGTATGACTATTATGTTGGAATTCAATGGTTTACAATTGAAAAATCTACACTCTTTTTATTATATACTGATCATTAGTAAACGACGTCGATGTTACCTGATACACTTTTTAGATGAATGAACGCCATTAGTCAAGATTTGCTTTTATTAGCCTCATTGTTTTTGATAATATCGATCAGTTACCACGTGATTAACACAATAGTAACTTGTAGGAACAAAAACCTTTTTCGAATTTCCTAATTTCAAAATATTCTTCATTTGATGTTAGCTTTCGTAAATGACTGTAATTGAACTGAATAATCGTCACCAATTGTTATCTAATACGTCCTTCAACTTCCTCAAACTTTGTTTTAGTTTACTAAATGCTTACATTGATTACATTTAAATATTTGAAATCATTGAAACTAAAATAATAAATTAATGGTGCAGAGGCTAGTTTATCACTTAAAATAAACGCTAGAGAAATTTTGATCTTTTTTTATGATTAAGTTATATGATTTTTGTTTTGTATATCAATTTAAGCGACTTGCTATTCAACTCGTTAAGTTCAAAGTTCAGTTTCAACTTAATCTTCAAACTGAGCTTCTGAAAATATTGTATCTCTAAGTTTGTTGACATTATTTAAACAATAAAGATTGATCAACAGTTAAACTGATAACGAAAGTCATTTGTTAATCCATCTTAAACAATTTATCAATCTATTAACCTCGAATCTTTACAGTTAAAAACAACTGAGTGTGGTCTATTACTGCTGTTTCGAAAATTAATGAATTTAAAAGCAAATTTTAACAGTTTTCATTTATAAACCCTACACATCAATCACCGCTCAAATAGTTATTGTGTTTTTAAATTACCGACTTCAATAAAATTCATATTTATGGTCATTTTACTTGAATACTAAATTCATACATGATAAAACGTAATCAGCTGACTACTCATTTGTTTTTTTGTGAAAGGGTTCACCTTTGATGATTATATTGCTCACAATTAAGTTCAATTTAATCATAAAGTACTATGTGATAGTATGCAAACTCATATTTGAAAAAAAATCTACAAAAACTGCATTTAATTACATACATTACATAAGCTTACTTCATCATAATACAAAAATCCAGGAGATAATTGACTACATTTATCACGAAGTTGAACTGGAAATTTTACCAAGTTATTCACAATCTCTTCGATCTAATTTTTAGTCAAAACAAAAGAAAAAAACAGAAAATAAAATCATGAGAAAATGAACAAAAACAATATTATTCACTAATCCTAACTGACCTTAAGATGTGCCAAAATGTTTGCTCATCTAGTTTAGATTTAGAAAACAAATTCTATATTGATTAAGATAACCTTTAACCCCAAAATTTACTAAAGAAGAATGACTAGTTTCTTAAACAAAAATGAAAAAAAAAATCTCACTGAGCAAACATTTTGAGATAATTACTTTTATTTAAATTTATTCAGTTTGGTCCTGACCTTAAAAAAAAAAGAAAACTGAGAAAATATAATAAAGAAAAACGAACTGTGTAGGAAACATGAAATAAGAGAATAATGAAATCTTATATACCTATCTATCTATTAGTAAATGGTTATTTTAAAAAAAATGGGATAGAAAAATATCTAATCATTACGCCTTTTCACTGACTTTCTTATGAAGCAAAATACACAACTTAATTTTATTGCTACATCTAATAGCAAGCAAGTTGTAAAATGATTAAGGTGAATAGTAGACCTCCTACTGTGCATTAACAAAACAACAACAAAAAATGGGTTAAAACTTACTTCAAATCGAATATTTTTAGAATGATAATTAAATAGAGAAGATAAATATAAATAAATGTAGATTACTGTGTAAAATCAACAAGAATAAAAAAATAAAATATCCGAAATATTCAAAAAATTTACTGAAAATAGGTAGTTTTTGTGGGGGGTGGGAAATTAACTAGTTGATTTTCAAAAGTTGAAATCATGAGTCAATTGAAGCTAGACAATCATGGAAAACTCGGAAGCACTGGATAGCCGTTTCGTCCTAGTATGCTACCCCACAGCAGGGAGCATCCACGATTCCTCTCCCACGAGGTTCGAAACCAGGACTTTTCAGTCTCGCGCGCGAGCGCTTAACCATTAGACCACTGAGCCGGCAACCGACGGTGTTAATGTCTAATTTTAACCAATACACGAAATCGCGCCACCGTCATCATTGTTTTCAATTAGCTGATATCTTACAACAGACCTGGTGACCCGTGAAGTTCAAACTAAGTCCGTTTACCAAAAAAAATTATTTCCTACAAAAAAAGACCGATAGAGACTAATAGGTCCTCGGTTCGAATCTCGTTGGAGGCGGGATCGTGCATGCGCACTGCTGAGGAGTCCTGTGCTAGAACGGAGCGGCCATCCAGTGCTTCCAGGCTTTTCATGGTGGTCTAGCTTCAATCGACCCATCATTTCAACTATTGAAATTATTTAAATCTCCACAAAACCCCTTCTGATAGTTGATTTTCAACTGATTTTCTTTCTGTTATTAAGTAAATTTAAATTGAGTTTAAAAAAAGGTAACAAGAAAAGAGTTACTGATGTTAATTATTTTAAGAAAAGTCAATTTAAGTTCAAGTTCAGAAAGTTCCCAATGCATACAGTGTAAACTATATACTACCTTTTTAAAAATGTTAACTTATCAAAGAATATCTTTGAAAATAAGTTTAAACAAATATCTATTAGGTTAGATATCAGATACTGAACAAATCAGAGTGACATTGATTCTTTTTGTTTTCAATATAAAGTTTATTATTACATAAAAACTGACAAATATATGGTATTCAATGTCTTCAAGTTAACAATTAACATTTCAGGTTAATAACAACCACGAATTTTCTTTTGATTTTAAGGCAAATTGTGCATATATGTTGATAGAAACATGCTATTTGTCAAGTAACATTATAATTTTAAGATTATGATCTACGTAAATAAATATATACGTTAAAAAATTCTGATCTTAATTAAGACCAATGTAAATAGTCAGTATATCATAATGAAATTAGGGATTAAGTTCAAATCATTATTGTCTATAAAATAAACGCTTACATATAGATAGTATCTTCCATTATGAAGTGAGATATAGCTTGTAGTAATCAGTAAATTACTCAAAAGGATTAGCCTTCATGAACTATTCCGGGATGTGTAGTAGCATTATGAACCCTGTGAATTGAAATAAACTTTATTCTAGTTTAATACTAAAACACTTTGGAACAAAACTACAGTTCTACTTCAATTTCATTCATCTGTAAATCAATATCTTCGTTTTTTTCAATTTCAGTTTTATTTGAAAGTTTTATTCATACAAGTATCTCTGTTTAATTAATTAGGCAGTGAGTTTGTCAGTGTTTTTACTAAACTAATTAAATCAGTACTTAATAGTTGAATTCATGATTGGTTGAAGTTAGACATTATTAACACCGTCGGATTCCGTCTCAGTGGTCTAAAGGTCGAGCGTTCGCTTGCGAAATCGATGATCCCGAATTCGAATCTCTTGTGCAAGATCGTGGATGCTCACTGTTGAGCAATTTAATGATTCTATCTATTTATTGATGTGGTGTTAGTGTGGTGTGCGCTACTGATGTCAATTCATATAAGTAGCATGTATCATCAATCGGACGTGAAATGTCTGGAGGCAGAAAGTTAAGAAGATCAAAGAAAAGAGAAGGAGAACAAAGAATGAACAATTTGGAAATTAAAGGACAATGAAGTCTGAGACGATGGACTGACATTTCGTTCTGTTATTTTGTGTTCAAATACATTTGATTACCCTAGCTTGTGTTCTCAGTCACTATATTCATATTCTCCGATTGAACATGTGGATTGTCACTCCACTTTTTATCCATTTCCCATTATAGGTTAGAGTTTCTTATCTTATGTTTAAAATTATAATATGTTTGAACAGTCCTGGGAAATTATTTCAGATAAATGAACTTCACTCATAAAAGATTACCAGTTTAGAATGAAATCAAATCAAAGTGATTGTATATTCGATTACAAAAATCATAAAACAACTTTGCTCTTCATCATAAACTTATCAAACAATAGTTGAAATAAAAGTTTGAAATTTCATATATCAAAGACAAAAGAAAAATATTTTATCAAGACTTTAAAAGTCAAGGTATGTTCTAGAAATATAAGACACATGAAACCTATAAAGGTAATTATGCTGCCAAATTTAAAATAGATTATAATAAGGTGAGGATCGTTCTGATTATTAGGATCGGATTTAATATATATATATATATATATATATATATATATATATATATATATATATATATATATTTCTCATAGTATTTAAATGTTATATTCTCATGATTTATCAGTCAGATATTTAATCGTATCTAGCAAATAGATCGTATATATAAGTAAATTATTTCGGTGAGACTATAATTTATGGACGAATCAATCAGGTATAAGATAACAAGTCTCGGATGTTGGCGCGAAATTCACTCACCCATTTTACTAAATAAAGTTTTGCCATTATAGTTGATATCAATTCGTGATGAAAACCCTAAATTTAATTCTTAAACTTAACTATCAACCGTAAATCATAATTCGAGTTACTCATACTAAGTTATAACCCTCTTGTGGTCCTCGTTGTAAGGTAGACACTCTCAGTGTCAGTCTAGCGTCGCTCAAAGGTCATCCATAGTTTATAGTCTCATTATTATTTCTCTAAATCTAATACATATACATAATTGACTAGACCATTGGTCTTTAATAATTATTCCAAAAAAGCATTTTGATTTAAAGTTATAAAGTCAGCTAGTGTAGAACTCAAAAAATATCATATTCAATTGGTGACTACTAAGCGTCACAATCATTCTTACATTTGACAGAACTGCCTAACATGATATCAAATTCTCTATTTGGTTTATGTTTAATCCTTATTTAAGATAACTAATATGTAAATGAGTCAGTCTCATAAACTAAAGGTAATGAAAAATTATAAATAAAAGCATTTAATCTAACTGCCACCTTCGCTGTGTTTTCTTTCATAGAAATAGTCATTGGTAATAATAAGTATTTTACATTGAAAGTGATCAGTTAATTGATTTAAAATGTACGTTTTATTCTTTTACTCAAAATTCATACATTTTTCTATTTAGCTTAGATCTGAAATGCAAATATTAATATTCTTGCATAAAGATGACATTACATAATTTTGGCGTTTTCTGAGTTTAACACATTGAAGCTGAGTAATATAGTTCCTGTGTAACAAAAACAATATGACATAGAAACTTGATTTGACTATAAGATTGATAATCATAGTGACATGAATCCCTTTTAAATTAAAAAAAAATAATTAAATAAATTGGATAGATTTTTATTAGATAAATTTCTCTTAAAGGGGTCAAAATGTCTATCCTGTTAAAATATGATATTAAATGTATATGAAAATTGGCTCTCATAATAATAGTAATGATAAACACCTTATCATTAACATGGACTGAGTCAAAAAGATGTAAAAGTGTTCTGTATTTAAGCATCAATTCAAATTTTAATAACAGAATTTATCCATTAGGAAATAATATGAAATAGAATACCTAGAGATTATGAGATAGATCAATATATGTAAAAGTTTAATAGAATATCGGAATCAAAAGTAAAAGACATGGAAAATGAATAGGTTGACAACAACATTGAAGATGATGCTTAAGATTTCGGTTTATTGAATGATTAACTTCAATTTTATTCTCATCTAATTCATTTTTTCATCTGCCTAAAAATGTCCGGATTATAAGTTGAATATTGTATAAATTGATCTAATGATAATACAGACTGTGGAAATTTGTTTTTACCAGAGAAATATCAATGACAGTCTTATATACCATAAGGTCACGATATATCATCATATCTAATGATTAAACACATATCATTTCATAAAACTATGAAATTAGTCATATTTTATGTGTCATTATAAAGGTTGACTTGATCTCAACATAAAATGTATATTAAAGTAAACACGTATTACGACTACTTATAATTCACTAGTAAATATGATTATAAAATAGCTAAATTTGTAACCTGTAAAATGAGTAGCCTCTTTATATGTTAATTGTAGGCATATAAAGAAATCGATATGTATTTATATATAATAGTTTTAAACTTAGTCAACTACAACTTGGAAAACTGATTTATGGAAGCCCTTTGTGAAGATGCACTTAATAAAATATGAAATCATAATGATATTAATTGACCTCGATTTGAAAACACTTAGACAATTATTGAAAAATGCATTTCATATGGATCAATAATTAATGTATAGATGATTCCTATAATTTTTATTATGCATATTCTTATTGTTGAAGCATAAAGTACGTTTAAGTATTTGGTTTGGCTTCTTCATTTGATATCACGCTATCTATCATTGAAATACTTGAAGTTTACTTGATGTGTACATTTTAAGGTCATAATAATTCTCACAGCTGTCAATACTATTATTGATATTTTGACATAAAAATTTATTATTTATGGGTTAAAACTAAATGACAGTACAAGTGTTCAAATTAATTAGTTTCATGGTTACTGTGGTATCGGTATTATTATCGCTATTATTTTCTCAGTTAAAGGCATTTACGATGTGCCTAGTAAATTATTTACTCTGTAGATAATATACAAATGATTGCGAAAAAATCTACACTCTGTTCATAACAGTTTTATTTATCAAAACATACCCTGAAACCATGCCAAATGTATTATAACTATTCTGAATTTTAAGCGAAGATGGAAAATGTTTGTCAGTGGAATCCAGGCTGAACGTTTCGTCCTATTTGGGACTCGTCATATGGGTGTACCTTCATCTCACAGTTGATGTTCGCTCACGAGCTCGAACCCAGTACCAATCGCTTAAAACCTCGTCGCGTAATCCACTTAGTTACAGTGTCCTGATAGCCACTTGCTTGTGTAATCGGGTGAAGTTTTCAATTCATTTAGTGTTGTTTTATTTGTACCTTCCTATTGTTATTTTGGATTGAGTTTGATCAGTCTCTTATTGGCATATGTGCAAACTGTGCAAGTCGCCTCGATATTGCCTTAATTCACAAACATTATTAGCAGAAATGGATAGGACGCGTATCCGAGATCCCACTGCTAGCTAGAAATAAAATTACTTCTCTTCAAGTTCATTAGATGATAGATTTATTTTATTTAGACTTCAATCTACGTAAATGACTAAAATAAAAAACTTATTTGACGCCTTTTATATATGTATTATTCAACTTATTTATAAATAAA